GACACCATATCCTCATGTCCACACTGTGACACCATATCCTCATGTCCACACTGGGACACCATATCCTCATGTCCACCTCTGTGACACCATATCCTCATGTCCACCTCTGTGACACCGTATCCTCATGTCCACCTCTGTGACACCATATCCTCATGTCCACCTCTGTGACACCATATCCTCATGTCCACCACTGTGACACCATATCCTCATTCATGTCCACACGGTGACACCATATCCTCATGTCCACCACTGTGACACCATATCCTCCATGTCCATGGCGCCACCAGCACACGCTCTCAGCACTGTGATACTACTCCCATGAGGCTCTCTCCAGGGCTGGGAAGATGCTGCCCCCATGTTCCTATCCTCTCAGAACTGGGAGCCTGGTAAACCTCTTTTCTTGATAAAGTTACTCAGCCTCAGATGTTTTTGGTGTAGCAACATAAAAGCCAGCCACGGAGCAGCCACGGAGCAGCCACAAACCATCACTACAAGCACAGAATAAGCTTTTGTGGTTACCAAAACAATAAAAAGGCAAAATTATTTGAAAAAGAAAGCAGTAAAGGAAAAGGTGTTTCTGATGGAAAAATGGATCGACCAGCCTGTGGGGAGCATCCTGGCAGTGTAGCCGACCTCTACAAACAAAAGGACTGAGGAAGAGATGCACTGGAGTGGGAAACTTGGCCTTCTTCCCCATGAACCAAACCCTTCTCGTGTGCTAAGGTTGGTGACACAGAGAGGTGTGCTCTCACTCGGTGGCTCTGTCAATCCCGGGAGAGTAAACCAGTCCCGGCTGTGTGGATTTTTCTTTAAGACTGTGTTTGCTTGACTTCCGAGGTGGCCTAAATAGGCTCCACGAATGAGGTAATATTTACTGGAAAAAGGTAAAAAGTACGTGAGTTTGCAAAATGTAAAAAAATTATATTCAGAAGGATGAGCCACAGCACATACAAAAACGTGCATTGATTTCCTATTTTCCGTGGTCATGTTCTCTGAAAACAAGAAACTGCTTTCCCAGGGCTGGGACTGTAGCTCAGTTGGGAGAGTGCCTGCCTGCAATGGTTGGAGCCCTGGGCTCCCTACCAGGCACAAAACAGGCCCAGAGACAGGTGTTTATGATCCCAGCACTCAGGAGGTCGAGAAAGGAGGAGCATAAGTTTCTAGGTTATCCTCAGCTATGCAGGGAATGGGAGGCCAGCCTGGGCTACGAGAGACCCTGCTTCAAATGAACCATGATGAAAAGAGGACTTTTGGGTTGTTCTTTATGCCATGGCCAAGTTCGTGTCTGGAGAGTTGAGCAGGCTTTCTTTGTGTCCACTCTCACTTTCTGATCTCAGATGGACCCAACTCATGCGTACCCCCTCTTATTTTATAGAAATAATAAAGTATTTAATGGGATTTTTTTTTTATTTAAATCATAGTCATACACCAAAGGATGCTCATAGTAAATAGATTGAAAAAATAACCTCATAGACTTTAAAGAGTAGATGACGGATGATAGGTAAGTAGGTGGATAGACAGACAGACAGACAGACAGACAGACGGCAGGCAGGCAGGCAGGCAGGCAGGCAGGCAGGGTTCCTCTGTCTCCAGATCTGCACATACATGGTGACTGCATAGAGTAGTTGAAGGAAGTCCTTCAGGCGCTGGCTGCTTTGCTTTGTCGTTTTGGCTTGGTCTGCTCTTGAGACCGGGTCTCCCCACGTAGCTTATGCTGCTCTGGAGCTCACTGGGTAGCCTCTTGAGTACTGGGGTTACCAGGATGCGTCACCGCTCCCGGCATGCTCGCTGGTTCTGGTGAGGGATGGATAGAAGAGGAATGGATGGGAGCAGAAGGCTCAGTGGGTACGAGGACTTGCCGTACAAGCTTGGGGGTCTGAGTTCAGTCCCAGCCCCTGTGGAAAAAGCTGGGTGCTGGCATGCATGGCCGGTAACTGCAGCACCGTGTGGGACAAGGAAGGATCGTCAGGGCTTGCTGTCTCCCAGTGTTGTCAGAAACTAGTGAGTCCTGGGCTCCATGAGAGACCCACAGAGAGAAGCACAGCATCATCAGACATCCTTCCCTGGCCTTCACGCACATGCACACATGTGTACCACACACATACACACATGTACACCACATACACACGTACACCACATACACACATGCATACCACACACACATACACACATGTAACACACATATACACATGTACACCACATACACACATGTACACCACATACACTCATGCTTACCACACACACATACACACATGTAACACACATACACACATGTACAACACATACACATACACATATGTACACCACATACACACATGTATGCCACACACACATAAACACATGTACAACACATACACATACACACATGTACACCACACACACATAAACACATGTATACCACACACATACACACATGTACACCACATACACATACACACATGTGTACCACACACATACACACATGTACACCACATACACATACAAACATGTACAACACATACACATACATGTACAACACATACACACATGTATACCACACACACATACAGAGTGCACCACATACACATACACACATGTACACCACATGCACATACACACATGTATACCACACACACATATACAGTGCAGCACACACACACACATACACACATTTATACCACACACACATACACACATGAACACCACACACACATATACACACATATTCATACACATGCACACACACTCATACACCAGAAATAAAAGTAGTAAGAGATGAGACTTTTATTTTAATTTATCTATTTAACAATTGCTTTGTTTTGTTTTTGTGAATGACTACTACTTTGGTAATTCTTAACTTTTTTAAATGAAGATCTAGATTAATGAAGACATTCACTGATGGTAGTGGCAATATTTCTAAAAGACAAGCTATATCTTTGTTTGATACAATGTGTCTTTAGCTCCTAGAATGTGACTTGAAAGTTAGTTCTCGGTGACCTCCAGCAACCTAGAAATATTACTAACCAACTAAATGTAGATGGATTGCAGTATCCTGGGGAGAAAAATCTTCACTTTTTAAATGAATGGTTCAACAGAAAAACAAAAACATTGAATATGAGGTAAGTTTCACGTTTACTGGTTTCATTAAAGCAAATCTTTCTGTAGACACTCTGAAGAGATTCTGAGTCGATGGACATCTCAGCTGCCCTAATGATCGTGTATGTATAGTCTGAAGCCTGGTTTTTGTTTGCCTTATTATAAAAAGCCACTCCTATGTACGTTAAATAAGATAATGGCGGTGTGGTAGTGGTGGTGTGGTGGTGTGGTTGTGGTGGTAGTGGTGTGATAATGGTGATGGTGGTATGGTTGTGGTGGTGTGGTGGTGTGGAAATGGTGGTGGTGGTGTGGTCATGATGGTGTGGCGGTGGTATGGTTGTGGTGATGTGGTGGTAATCATGGTGGTGGTGCTGTGGTGGTTTTGTTTTGTGGAGGGGAGCAGAACTGCTCAGGAAAGAGAAAGAAATCCCTGCAGTATCTGCCAATAGCTCAGGACAGACAAGAGAAGCGTGCTGAAGGAATCCTATGCACGGAGACAAGGGGTGAATCAGCAGAGTCGAGAGAACTGAACAGCAGCAACTGGGAGATAAAAGGACTGTGGGGAGCAGAGCCAAGCCTGCAGGAGGGAGAGGGGCGGGCAGGCTGGATGACGATTGGGTGGGAGCAATTCCATAGCTTTTGTTTTGTTTTGTTTTGCTTTGCTTTGTTTTGCTTTCCGAGACAGGCTTTCTCTGTGTAGCTCTGGCTGCACAGAGTTACAGGATAACTCACTCTGTAGACCAGGCTGGCCTCGAACTCACAGAGATCCACCTAGCTCTGCCTCCTGAGTGCTGGGATTAAAGGTGTGCACCACCTGCCGGGTGCAATTCCACAGCTTTATCAGAAGGTGTGGCGAGTGTCTTATTGTGGCCTAATTGTCTCTCACCCTAACTTTTAAATGAGTACGGAGATTTATTTTTTAATCATCAATAATCTATTTGCATTGTCAGATTCTATAAGTAACTTGAGAGGTCGCTGCAGAGGATTCGTTAATAGCTCCCATTTCAGATAGGACTTTTCAAACAGAAGATGACGGAGAAGCTGACCTCTCCCCCAGTTAGTGAGAAAGGGGGCGGGACTTCTGACCTTCTCATGATGGGGGAGGGGACACAAATTAAAGCCACTTTGACAGAGATGTTTTGTAGCCAGGATCTTCAAGCCAGGCATGGTGGCGCACACCTTTAATCCTGGTACTCGGGAGGCAGAGGCAAGCAGATCTCTGTGAGTTCAAGGCCAGCCTGGTCTACAGAGTGAGTTCCAAGACAGCCAAGGCTACACAGAGAAACCCTGTCTCAACAAACACACACACAAACAAAGGATCTTCAAGTCCTACTGAGGCCGGTTAGTCATCTGGTCTTACTAACCAAGCAGACACAGCTCCCAGCGTGACTTAGCAGCCTATAGACTAGAGGCCGTAGACGTATCCTCACTGACTGATACTTAACAATATTGATGCTGGTGTCGTGGATTGAGTGCCCTGTTTTAAACCACCCTGCTGAGTGCAGTACTTTGCTTGGAAACAATAAAATAATAACAACCATCATTTTTCCTCTCCCCCTCTTCCAGGCTTTGACCAGGAGAAAATAACTACAAGAAACTACTAATTTACAGAATGTGCAGATGACCTACTTTATTCATAACCATAGGAGTTTTAATTTATTAAGCAACAATTTAATATGAGCAGTGCCTAGTAATTCTACTTTGCTGTGTGTTTTGTGGGAGAATAATGTATTACTTAATGGAGAGGATAAATTTATTATTGGGGAATTTTAATAATGAACAAAATTATGTTTGGGTATTTTCTTGGGAAGTAATTAGTTGCATAACTGTCCTTCCCTGAAGTGTGGCGGTATTGGTGGCAATTGCTATTTAGTGGTGAATTCCCTACAAAACATCCTACCCGTGTCTTGCTGCAGTGGTGCAGGAGTGCTGAGAGATGTCAGAAGCCCTGGGCCTGGGGAGGAACTCACTAAAATAAGCTCCCGGCTTCCAGCGGCTCTGCTGGTCACTTTCACCCGCACAAGGCAGACCTGAGACAGAATGGGGAGGTCACTGATTGGGGCTTTTGCTCCATAGCTCCCACTGACTTGAGAGGCTGCAGCCTCCAGGGTCCCCAGACAATCTTCCTGTGACCTGCTACACTGCCTGGGACTTGTTCATCCCATTGAAAAGACTCGTTTATGTGGACACAGAAGTTCTAGAGGGTCACTGATAGAATGTAGACATTCAACTAGAATCTGTGACTAGCTGGGCATTAATTAGTAATTATGCTTGGGAAGTAACATGTATTATTAAAACGCTGCAGGCAAGAGCCTAGTTCACAACAGCTTAAGCAAATGAGGGGTTCACCGGCACATAGAGCTGAGGAGAAATCTGGATAGATGATGGAATTATAAAGGCAGTGTTCAAGAAGAGGCTGAGAATAGTGGTCTGGAATCAGCAACGCAACGCTGCCAGGGTTCTCTCAACCCAACACTGGATGTCGGGATAAAAACCCTATGCTAAGACAAGCTTTCTCCGTATAGCCAGGGAGGAGTGTGAGAGGCCACTTGGTACACTCCTTAGCTTAGCAACACCAGTGAAGAGAGATTCCTTCTTTCGCCCAGCATCTCTGTATTCATCAGCATTCCCTCACTATAACAAAATGCCTGAGATGGTCAACTTAAAAGAGAAAAGGTTTTGCGGTTCTAGGCCACGATCAGTTGGCCCCAGGGCTTTGGACTCACAGAAAGGCCCTCATGTCACAGTAGGAGTCCAGGGCGGAATAAAACCACTCAGCTCTGTGGCCAAGAAGCACAAGGACAAAAGGAAAAGTCACTTCCACCATGCTCTAAGGACCTCTCACAAGATCTGACTTTTCAAAGTTTCTACTGACTCTGGATAGTGCCACCCCCAGGTCAACACGTGGGCCTTTCGGGGGGGGGGGGTATTCAAAATTCAAACTATAGTAACATCAGTTCCAGGAAATGACCTGGACCAGTAGGTCATTCTTCAGTGACAGAGTCCTAAGGGGAAGGTGGCCGGAAGATGAGAAGGCGAAGACAGAAAGGTTAGGGTCAGGAAGTCTTGCACAAGCCATGTCTAATGCCAGACAAGTTTACTAAGAAGTACAACTTCTTATATCCTATCTTCCGGGGGTCATGGTCAAGGTCAGCAGAGAGCTAGGAGAACACAGCCTGCCTCAGACATGGGTGCTTCAGGAATAACCACAGTCCAGGGGGAAGAGTTGGGTCCCCACAAACCACAACTTTGACTCCTCTGAGGCACAGGGCTCCAGCTTCAGACTGGCTCTTGGCCAAGTCCATTCTTGGACAAGGGCCTACACTAATGCTCCCTTTGTCCCTTTCTCAGGGCCTCTGAGAAAGCCTTGGGTGGATCTGGCTCCCAACAAGGAAGATCATATATAACCAGTAGATGGCATCCCCACCTGGTGGACTAATAACCGTTGCACACTGGTGAGTCTGGGACAGGAAGACACCATTCCTGAAATCCCCCATAGAGTCCCACAAAGTAGAGTAACAGTTCTCATGAAGGAATAAGAAACCATTGAAGACATCAAGGGAGACCCAGAGCACAAAGTCTGTGGTCCATGGCAAGCCAGATCTAGGAGTGAGAACCTGAGTGATGAGTACCCTCTCCAACACTCAGTTAAAACTGAGTTGCAGAGTCTCCCAGGTATCTCACTCCTGGTGGCAGAGACCATCTAAAATGTCACTTCTCCCCCATTCTTACCTGACTGATAACAAATGTTATGACGCTATTATGAATCAAAATCTCTGATTGGCTGTCGATCAGTTCCAAAAAAAAAATTCTAGACTGAAAAGACTTTTCCTTTCCTCTCCCTCTTCTTCTTTTTTCTTTTCCACCCTCCCTCCCTCCCTCCCTTCCTTCCTTCCTCCCCTCTCTCTTTCTTTCTTTCTTCCTTTCTTTTTTATTTTTATTTTTTGGGACTGGCTAGCATTGGCTCCTAGTTACTAATGGGCATCGCAAAAGAGTTTAAATTGACTGGCACAAGAAGAGACATTCTTTGCTTTAGGGGAGAAAAAAGTTTCACAGTCGAGGTCCATGTGGACTAGGCTCAAGAGAATCCCCACCACCAGAAGACTGAAACCCCCCTAGGGACAGGTGTGTTTGGAACAGAGCAGCCATCGGAATCTCCAGCCAGCATCTGGAGAAACTGAGCAGGGAAAGAGGAGGAGAAGTGAATGGAAAAGAGTCCCCACAGAGGCAGCAGGAGACGGCCATAATCCAGCCTCCTCAACCTTCCATGGTTGGTCGGGATGTTCTCTACCAAACGCTGAAGACCACCACGCACTTCCACAAACTGGGCTCCATCTTAAACCCTTCGAACTTCCTCAACCCTCCACCCCGATCATTGCTAGCACTGACCTCAAACTTGCTATATGGCCCATACTGGCTTCAAACTCTCAATTAAGCTCCTGCCTCAGCCACAAGAGTGTTGGGATTACAGAATCCTCCTCTTATCTATTTTCAAAGGTAGTGAGCTATGGAAAACCCATTGATTAATGGTACAATCAACCAATGATACACCTAACAGACAGTAGCTGAGGCTGGAGGAAAATGGGAAATCTAGATTCTGGCTAGGCAGTCACATGACAGATTAGACTTCTAGATCTGGAGAGAAAAGAGTGGGTCCCCGGTAAATGATTAGCTATCGATACACTGTGTTCATCCCCAAGCTTACAAAAGGGCCAAAGGGAGACAAATCCACAAAGTGACATGTCGTCCCTTTGGTCCTCACCAGAATCAACATCAGCCAAACAGAAGGAAGTCACCTCCTGATGGGCAGAGAGGCAGCAGAGGCTGTAACTTAGAGAAGATGGTTAGAGGCAGGGTACCAAGCAGGCGACAAGTACCAGTCTGTCAAGACTGGCAGTTCCAATACTAAAGTGCATCTGAACCCTTTGGTGAAAAGTCTCTCTGCTGAGTTCTGACTGCTACCTGCCCACCCTGCCCACCCCAACTCCTCTCCTGGGACACGCAGACTTCCCCCACGATCCTGCAGCAAGAAGATTTGCGTGTCACACACAGAAGACTCCTGGAGTCAAATCCTGACGGGCCAATGCTTTTTGATTCCTTAATATCTCCCCTGGCCAGAGAGTTGACACCGAGTGTCCTCCATCAGCCATCAGATCTACTCCAGGACAGGGACAGAAGTGGGGTGGCCATGGACTACTGAGCCTAACCTAATCCTTGTTTTCCCTTTGAAATCTTGCTGTTATACCAGAATTCTAAAGTTGAATTGGATGTCTAGGACCCATATTGTATGTGGCTGTGACCCCCACGGATGACTTTTATTTTGACAGAAGACAATGAAACTCAGTCCAAGGGTGAGAGGAACGTTGACGATATGTTAAAATAATGTAAAGAAATTTGTAAGAAAACCACCTGTAATAAAGTCAAGATGAATGTAATGTGCAGTTCCCCAAAGGGCTTCTCCATGACCCTGAATCCTCTCAGCTGTTGAGAAAGGTGAAGGCATGGGAAGAACACTGGATTTTGTACCAGACCACCCGGATCCTTGCCTGGAGTAATAAAAGGAATCGTCCCTGGTTACTACATGTACAAGTAATTTCTACAGCTGAAAAATGGAGCATAGGAATATTTAACACAAAGAATTATTACGTTAAGCTGGAGAGATGACTTAGCTGTTAAAAGCACTGGCTGCTCTTTCAGAGGCCCTGAGTTCAATATCCCAGCACCCACATGGTGGCTCACGATCATCCAGAACTCCAGCTCCAAGGGCTTCACTGCCTCTTCCGACCTCCTTGCGCACCAGGCATGTACGTGGCACACATACATATTTGCAGGCAGAACACTCAAAGCATGAAAAATAAGAAAATTTTTTTTTAGCCGGGCGGTGGTGGCGCACGCCTTTAATCCCAGCACTTGGGAGGCAGAGGCAGGCGGATCTCTGTGAGTTCGAGGCCAGCCTGGGCTACCAAGTGAG